GGGAGTCTCCGGCTCGAGCTCGTGGCGCGCGCGCAGCTGGGCGAGAAACAAACAACCGCCCCCAGGCCGGGCCCCAGCCGGGAGGGAGGGGCCGGGCGCGGCGAGCAGCCCGGGAGGGAGGGGGCAGGAGCGAGCAGTTTCTTTCCGCAAAACTTTAGTAGCTCGGCGAACAGAGGCGCCAGCGCGCGCGAGGGTAAGAAGGGCGGGGGGAGTTGGGCGCAACCGGCTGTGGGGGGGCAGCGGTTGGGGCAGCGCGGACGCGCGTAGCCTAGCAGCTGCCAATGAGCGAGCCGGGCGCTCTGGGCAGGGCGTGAGGGAACGAAAGGAGCCAATCATCGAGACGGAACCACAAAAGGGGTGAAAAAGAGAGTCCAGCAACCAACCAGAAAAATCAAAGACGGAGCATTTATTTGCGGTATCCAATCACCGACGGAAACGCAGATAGGAAAATGACATCAGTCAAGTAGCCTAGCAGCTGCCAATGAGCGAGCCGGGCGCTCTGGGCAGGGCGTGAGGGAACGAAAGGAGCCAATCATCGAGACGGAACCACAAAAGGGGTGAAAAAGAGAGTCCAGCAACCAACCAGAAAAATCAAAGACGGAGCATTTATTTGCGGTATCCAATCACCGACGGAAACGCAGATAGGAAAATGACATCAGTCAATCAGGAAGCTGGAGATAAATTCCGCTACCACAGAGCCGGAAGTGGCTGAGCCAGGGGTATTTATTGCGCATGCGCCACTCATCCCGAAGGGAAACTTATTAGGCAGCTGATAGAGTCTTGCGGGTGTTTCCAGAGCGGGAGCCTGGGGAGACTGGTGTGAATGGGTGGGGGAAGGGGAAAGCTGAGTCCTTTGCCTCAGGGGTTTCTCAGTGGCTGTTCAGGGTGAAGGCAGTGTAGCTGGCCATTTCCAAAGGCTGCAGAGGGGTGGCCGAGTTAGTCTGTAACTGGGAAAACTTAAAAAACAAGGATTAGTCTTGCAGCACCTTAGAGAGTAACAAAGCGTGTAGCTGCTAGCATGGGCATTTGTGGGGACACCCCTCTTCTTCAAACCAATTCATATGAAGAAGGGGGCTGTGCCCATGAAAACTCAAGGTACCATCTACACGTTTTGTGAGTCTCTTAGGGCAATGGTCCTCCCACTGGGGCATTTGTGTGTTCCCGCCAAGTGCTCGGGGCTGGTGCTGTGTGGCGCATGTGCAGTGCTGGAGCTGGCCCCAGGCTCATGGCGCATGGGGAGCGCCAGCCTCAGGCGAATTGGCCATCCCGGCCCCCAGGCGTGCAGCTATGGGAAGTGCTGGCCCCAGGAGCATGGCCAATTGGCTGCCCCAGCTCCCGGACACGCAGCTGTAGGGTGCACCAGCCCCAGTGCAAACTGGCAAACTGGCATCCACGTCCCTGGGCACGCAGCTATTGGCGGGGGTGCTGGCTTTGGGCGCACAGCTATGGGGGGTGCTGGCCCTGGGTGCATGGCTCTGCAGGGCGCTGGCCCTAGGCTTGCTGCAAATGGGCGGCCCCACCCATGGCCATGTGGCACATAGGGTTGCTGGCCCCAGGCACGTGGCTCATGGGGGGTGTGGCGTATGCGTGCCCCTGTGTGCACAAGTGTCCCTGCTCTCTGGCGCCTAGCAGGCGAATGGCCTTGCCCCCTGGCACCCAGCAGCTTCAAATAGTTGGGGACCACTGTCTTAGGGTATGTCTAGACTACATGACTCTGTCGCCAGAGCCATGTAGATTAGTTTACTAGACATACCTAAATGAAGCGGCAATTTAAATAATCGCCGCTTCGTTTAAATTTAAATGGCTGCCACGCTGAGCCGATCAGCTGTTTGTCGGCGCGCGCTGAGCTGACAAACAGCTGATCAGCTCAGTGTGGCAGCCATTTTAATTTAAATGAAGTGGTGATTATTTAAATCCCTGCTTCATTTGAGTATGTCTAGTAAACTAATCTATATGGCTCTGTCGCCAGAGCCATGTAGTCTAGACAAACCCTTAGTGAAATAAATGGGGTGGCTTAGGGTTTTGTGTGTGTGCTTTTTTTTTTTAAACAAATGCATAGCTGCAATGAGTCTGCAAAACTGGGACTAGATTGTGTCCATGTGCAAAACTGCTGAATTTAACTTCATTTGAGTATGTCTAGTAAACTAATCTATATGGCTCTGTCGCCAGAGCCATGTAGTCTAGACAAACCCTTAGTGAAATAAATGGGGTGGCTTAGGGTTTTGTGTGTGTGCTTTTTTTTTTTAAACAAATGCATAGCTGCAATGAGTCTGCAAAACTGGGACTAGATTGTGTCCATGTGCAAAACTGCTGAATTTAATCATGCATAATTTAAAACCTACTCAACAGACTTTTTGTGTCACCTTTTTGAATGTCAGTTGAGCTTCAAAAAGTACAGTAGACTTCCAATAATCTGGCACCTTTTGGACCAACGTGGTGCCGGATTATCAGATTCGCTGAAGAATCGGGAATTCCGGTACAGCTGCAGGGCTTAACAGCTGGCCAGGACACAATCTCCTTTCCCCTCCCTTCTCCTTTCCCCTTCCCTGAAGCAAAATGCTCTTCTCCATACTGTAACAGGATCCCACTCTCTCTCTCCCCTCTCCTTCCCCCAACCTTATGCTCCCTCTGGTTACAGCCAGCACATGTGCTGAGCGGCAGGCTTTTTAATCAGTTGGCCAGGAGCAGTTGGCATTTTGATGCCAGATTATCAGGAGTGCTGAACAGTTGGATGCCGGACTATCAGAGTTTTACTGTAATTGTAAGGCCTCTGGTCAGAGGTTTGAATTATATCAGACTGCAAAATTTATGATAGTGATTAGTGTATGGAGGGGAAGTGTTTTTTCCATAATCACATAGCTCAAACAACTCAAATTCTTTTCCTCCCCCTCTTCTCCCCTCCCTTTCACACCTTTTTAGTTAAGAACCTACATACAAAATTTCAGTACAGAAGGAATAAGAGAAAGTAAAAATGGGGATGATAGAATGTACTGGCTGACCTTCTAAAGAAACTTCTGTATAAGCAACTCAAAGTGCTTTAACAAACAACTTAAATTTCAACACTACAGTTGTTAGTAATTGTCCTCCCCCCCCCTCCAATATTAGAGATGAAGAAAGTAAGGCACAGAAAGGGAAATATATTTGCAATTTTTCTCAAGTACTTTTGATTACAACATCTTATGAAATGGCAGGAAACATTTCCAAATAGTGTTTGGAGTAACAACTTCTGCTGCTACAACTGTTTATTTCCAAAAGCATGTAATTTATTAAACTTACGTAGTTAATAACAGTAGTAAAAAAAAGACTATATAAAAACTGATGCTTTCTAAAGCAATTAAAGCTATTGGCAAGTAAGTGAATGATGTGTAGCAGTTAGAGCAAAAACTGGAATCTAATCCCTAGTTCTAGTAGTGATTTACTGTTGACCAAATTATTCACACCTTTCTGTGCCTTACTTTCTTCATCTCTAATATTGAGATGACAATTGTTAGTCTAGAACCTAACATATGAAAGGAAAGGAATGTGTAAAGCCAAACTCGACAGAAAAGTTGATCACAAGCTTGAAGACTACAAAGAAGAAGACAACATCCACAACGGGTGTTTAACTTTTGGGTGCCTTGAAAACCTTTGAGCAAGACTAGGATCCACAAAGCCTGGGGTAGGCACTTATGTCTACACTGCACATTTATTTCAAAATAAGGTATTCCAGAATAATTTATTTTGAAATAGCACATCTACACTTCAGGGAAGCCTCAAAAGACAAGCTTCACTAATGTAGATGTGCTATCTCAGTTTAGTCCTGGATGCAGGGAGGTCCTTATCTCTGCTAGTGATCCAGACCTGAGAGCCCCTCTCATGGAGTCAGATATTTTAGCTGTGTCTACACTGGCGCGATTTTGTGCCAAACCGGCCACTCTTGCGCAAAAACTTGCTGCCTGGCTACACTGGCCATGTATTCTTGTGTGAGTAAACGAACATTCTACTGTATAAAATCAGGGCTTCTTGTGCAAAAACTGTGATGCTCCAGCTCAGGAATAAGCCCTCTTGTGCAAGGGGCCAGTGTAGACAGGCAACATGGATTTCTTGTGCAAGAAAGCCCTATGGTTAAAATGGCCGTCAGAGCTTTCTTGCGCAAGAGAGCGTCAACACTGGCATGGAT